CTTCCTTCCTTCCTTCCTTCCTTCCTTCCTTCCTTCCTTCTTTCCTTCCTTCGCTTTCTTCTTTCTACTATCCACACATCCCTTGATTAGTCTCAAAATAGTATCTTTTCTTTTGTCAAACTGTTGAAAATACCTGTAACTACTAATACTTTATTAGAAAAGATACAATTATCGAAAGTTTTGTTGAAAATGTAATTTACATATTTAAGAAAAATATATACACAATTTGTATCTTTTTCCTTTAGAATGAGCATTTCTTCATATTAGAGTTAGATTTGTTAAACATGTAATATCTTTGCTTTCAAATATTTATCATCTTATCTAGGTTGGAAGGATTTATTTATATGTTTCAACTCTTTGGAAACATGTGAAATATAAGAAAGTTTTTCAAAATTGTTTTGATTCTGACCAATATTTTAGTATTTAAAAAAGTGGCACTGATTACCACAGCTTTAGCTACTAACTTAGACACTTCCTGAAATCACTAGTTATTGTGTATCTGTGGCAGTGTCCCATTTTTCCATAATTCTTGAATATAATAACACATGCTTATATTTATTAATATTTTGTGTTTTCCTGAAAACTTTGTGATCATTCTTCAAAGAATTTATTTTATTTCAAAGAATTTATTTATTTTTAAATGCTCCTACCAAATAAGTGAAATACTTATACCTCTGTTATACTTAAAATATAGGCATAAAAATAATTAAAGTCCTATTTATTTCAAATACCCACTTATTTCAAGTGATATCAGACATTATATTATTTTAGTATGTCACAATAAATTGGACAGCCTTTGTGGCATTTTATTAGAATTTTTTTGGTAGTTCTGCGAATGAAACCCAGGGTTTCACATACTCGAGGTAAGTGCACTACTTCTGAGTTATATCCTCAGACCCCCTGTGGTATTTTAAGATGAGAATTAACCTGTGGAGCAGAACATGATACATTGTTCACAAAACACTTCTTTTTCCTCTCAACACACAGCTAGACTATTTCCCAGTACCCACTGCAGTTAGGTGTATCTAACTGTGACAATGTAACTGAATTCTGGCCAGTGGAATGTGAATATAAGTGATGTGTCTGCTTCAGGCTTAGTAATCTGTGCCATCCCTGATCTCCACTTCTGTTCTTAGAGGAATGGGGAGAACTCTGAGAACCTAGAGGAACTGTGAGATGGTAGGAGCCTGGATTTCTGGCTTTCTACTTGGAGAAGAATCAACCAATGGAGCTGTTCAGTGAGGAACACTCAAATCGCATAGTTGTGTAAGAAGGTAGGTCAGTCTAACTTGACCACTACAACTGGAACTTGCTGGAAAATGGATGCAAGGCCTTTTTCAATTCTTCTCATTTTTTCTGATTTCCAAGATAAGGTTTGTAGCCCCTTACCCCAACTATGCTATACTAAAAGATGGTGCTAAAACAATTTTATATATATATATATACACACATATCTGTATATCTCTTTCTATAACTGCAACTGATGCTCAGAATCCAAGCATTGGGATATAGAAAGAAAAGACTGAAATCTCATTTATGATAATCATATAAAACTAAATAGAAAAGGTCATTGACTCGATCCTACATTCACCAATAATTATCAAAGTTTCTATTGGTTTGTGTAATTTTTTCTTAAGAAACTAGAATATAAATTTTATGTATTATATGAAATAATATGTTATTATGTTTAGATTTATATACTTTCCTTGCATCATATTGAAAATTACATTTTCTTCTTTGGTGCCAAAGATCTCTGATATACAATGACCATAATGATACCTATTTCTCTAGTTAGCTCTATTTCCTATTTGAGTGGATACATTTTAAGTCAGGAAGATTGTTTAGGTGGCATACAGCATTAAACACTTGTTTAATATCGCTTATAAAAATATATGTGGTTTTAGCCAGGCACACTGGCATATCCCTGTAGCCCTAGGTACTAGGGAGGCTGAGGCAGGAGTTTGGGACAGCCTGGGTAACACAGACTTTTCTATATATGTCAACTTTCGACCATGTAAATTAGAGATCATCTCTTTTCTAAGTCTTAAAACCAAGAATATGAAGATAATGGAAGACCCTTTATTTTTTGTTTACCTTAACTGGGACATAAACATTTCAAAAGAAATCAACTAAATGAGAAGATTAGTTCAGGCATCAAGTGCGGAAATGTTTGTTGGAAAGTTTAGAAAATTCAGTATTTATTCTCTCCCATTCTTAACCATCAGTTAATTTCCATGCCACATGCACTGGGATGGTATTGAAACTTGGCTTTTAGGAGGAAAAGAGGTCTGTTTTCAGTATATTTTAAAACTTCTGCTTGGGGTGACAGATTCTCATATGTTCAGATTTCCATAAGTTACAGACACTTGTGTCTCCACTTCTTACCTGTTCTTCCTTCCACCACCACTTGTCGGGAAGAGATCCCTCCACTCACTGTTGTTACCACCACAGAGTAGAGGCTGCCTGATTTCAGAGAATGGAAGCTGTATCTATTAGTCTCACTGGAGACACTTTCATTTTTGATGACCACGTTTTCATGGATCAGTAAGACTTGGTAGAATTCTGTGTCTCCCAGGGCCCCTGTCCAGTTAGCAAAGAGACTACTTGTCATCCCTTGGTTGGCCACCTGCAAGTCAGTCACTTGGGCAGGCACTAAAAGACAGTAGACAGAAAACAAACAAAAGACACTTACTCACCTTAAGAAAGTAAAAATATGGGTCAAAAATGGAAACAACTTGAAAAATGTTAAGAAAATGTTTTTGGTTGTTTTAGCTATAAACTGTCAGGTCTATTTCTTGAGGCACATGGAGAATTACTCCTCTATTGAGGCTCTACTACTTTGAAAAAGCTGTTTAAATGGTAAATCAAAATTATTTAGGGTCCAAGGATAAGATGGTGCATACTTAGTAGTTTTATTTTAAATTTTATTTTATTTTATTTTGTTAAATTCT